GAGATAAACTAATGCTGGAGGTGCTTCTGGTGGAGTGTGGTGAGTGCAGGCCGTAAAGTGAGTTGGGAGCCCAAACGATTAGACTGGGCATTAAAGCCCACAATGTGTCATCTCAAAAAAAAAAAGCCCACGATGTGTGCTAAGGAAAACTGAAAATCATAGAGCATCCTGTATTAGGCACCTCTCACCTTTGTCTCAAAAAAAGGACACCTCTCACCTCATGAGTCATTTTGCTCAACAACGAAAAAAACCTCATGACTCATTTTTTGCCAAACTGTCATCCTAATCATCTTCTTATGAGATTCTTCAAGCTAAACGTGGATGCTTAATTTGATGTGCACTCATGAACAGGAGGATCAGGCGCTCTCATTAGAGATCAACTCGGCTATTTCACGTCGGCTAGTTGCCGAGGGATCCCTTTTGTTTGATGTTGCAACAGCTGAAGCTCGTGCTCATGTCCCAAGGTTTAATACTTGCCGGGCAAGTGCTGCAAGCAAAATCGTCATGGTGGAATCTGACCATATGGAGGCCCTCAAGGTTATGCATCAGGAGGCGATTCTACCAGACATGAGTGCGACGACGGTCTATGAGGAGTGTCCGTTTCGTTGTCTCAATTTTGTCCAACTAATATTAGTCCTTGTTCTAAGGATACTAATATGGCAGCGCGTGTCTTAAATAGTTGGGTGTTAGATGAACATGTCTTAACCTGTAAGATGTAGCTGCAGCTCGCATCGACGTCCCTGATGGTGGGGTGGACGGCTGCGGCGCCGCCATCTCCACGTCGGGACTGCCCTGCAGGGATCCTCGACGGAGATGTTGTTCCTTCGCTCCGCCCTTCTGTAGCAGGCATCAAGAAACCAAGCAGCTGCACATTGTAGCCTTTTCTTTTACAGAAGTGGTAGCATTTTGTGCTGCAGTAGTTAGTATTGATTTTCTCCTTCAAGATTGCTGCAGTAGTTAGTAATCAAGATTGACAGGAACAATGGTTCAAAGATTGCTGCGGTAGTCAGTATTGATTTTGTTCTAAATCACGCTTGCTGCAGTAGCTAGCAATCCTGTTGAGTTCACTGAATGTTAATGGGCATCATGTTCCAGAATTCAGAGGGTTCTCTCGCTGTATATACTCTTACATCAGAAAGGTCATAAACATTACACTTCTATGAATATCATCCCAAGGGGCAAACGAGTGACCTGAAATTTTGAATATCATCCCAAGGGGCAACCGATTTACTTTGAGATTCCAGAAAAAAAATTCGGGATGCCCGTCCCAGGAGAAACTCACAGTTGTTACTAGCCAAAATTCGGCAGCCAACCAAGCGCCCTCTACATATCTCTGAGCAACCTTCTGTTTCTTATGCTTGCATGACTATACATAACATACCACGATCTGATGATGCACCAAGATCCTAATAGACCTGTGCTGCAGTCATAAGTTCCCTTCACCCGGCTCCTTTCCTATACAAGAACACAAGTTGTACTTCATCCAGGCATTCAGATGTTGATCCGTGGGCTGGCCTAGAAAATAGAAATCATGCATCAATCCCTGGCCCTGGGTACGCAGGGAGACTCATGATCCGCCTGTCAACCACAGGGGCACCCACCGTAAAATGGTACAAGCTTTGGAACTCCAGGTCTTTCAAACCAAGAACCTCATGAACTGCACAACAAATGTATGTAGGAAATTAATTAGATATTTTGTCAGGAATTTAAATTACAGGTAATACCTACAGCTACCAAAGAATAATGAAAAACTGAAATGAGTTAAGGAGTTAAGTTTTTGGAAACAAGATCTTCCAAGTTCCAAGGGTACCAATAGGTAGTTCACGATTTCCGAACCTCAAAACATAATACTGATAAATTTGTACTTGCTACAAACTGAATCATGTAGAAACAAGTCAAACAACATATATGATCTGTTATTCAAGATTAAAGCATATACATGTAAGATTTTAGTGACCAAAACCAATAAAGCAGCAAGGTTTCCCTGATCCATACACAAGAACACATTGTGATGATTTTTAATTGTAAGGGGGAACCTTGTACCCGCCCACACAATAATTTCCCACACTTTAATGCGGCATTTACAAAGTATTCAGCAAAAGGACCATAAGAGGCTTAGTCATTCCACCTCTTGACAGTACAATTATATCTTTAGCTTAAGCTTGCTAAATGATCTGCAAGCGTGAACACAACAAATGCAGCTTTATAGCTTGGTTTGAAGTTTGAACCACGAGGCGTAACTGTTCAGCACAATGGTATGTTCTAAATCGGTTGTTCAGAGAGAAAAGTTGGGTACCAGCAAATGAAGATTACTTGCCAAACACAGCTAGTAAGATCTATTTACCATATATAGTTAAGGGAGCATACATACAGTTCAATTACTAACTGGTCTTTTGAAAATACCGGATCATCTTACCAGCATCATCAAAGTAGCAACCAATCCCCGTGGCAGATATCCCTACAGCATGCGCCTCAAGGTAGAGAACTTGACCAAGAACACCAGTCTCCCAGAATAAACGAGGATACATCCATTCACCTTTGTCATCCAGCACAGGTTCAAATCGAGCAATCATCCCAAGGCTAAAACATCCATGTGAGGCAATATCCTGCATCAAGAATCAGGAATGCATCATGAGCATCTCACCTCCAATTCCATGACAAACTATAAAACTAATACTTTGAGTATTCACATGAGCTCCACTAATTACTGCAAAAATAAATAAAACCACACAACATCCCAACTTGGCGGGTTCCCCTATCGAAGGATAACGGAACAAGGTTTGACACCCTACGGTGTAAAAGAAAAAAAGAAAGGAAACTAAGCCAAAAACAAAAGCAACCACATGCTACTTGAACTTGTATCATAACATAGAGCTAAACAGGCAAACAGCGGCACCACATCTATAGGTGGGAGATTAAGTTTCTGAACTTCAGCCACACAGGGACCCCATTGATCAGCATGATTGAGACACACAAGCAGAAGGAATCCAAACAATGTTCTTCACCAAACAGAAGGTAGCCTCTACATACACAGTTTGAGCATGGCAAAGGCCATTCATTATAAATCAATGAAAAAATTGTTCAGCAGCCACAAAGATATAATTATTTGTGTTAAAAGAAGCCATAAGCAATAACAGTTGCTGAATTTGATCATATACCTGCATACATGATATCTGCATTGCCAACCTCTGGCAATCCCCTTTCATCAGCCTGTAGAGTGGGAGGCCATCAGGGCATCCCTCTGGTCGAGCCCACTCAAAATCTTGTCGCATAGCATGTCGTAATGTATCAAAATGCTCTTCGTTCCTAACCAAGAAATACAGCCCCTTGGGCAGTCCTGAGACACGGTGCACAAACAGTGCGGCGTGCACCTCTGCGTCCCATGGCAACACGCGAAATGGTAGAGCGCTCTGTGGTCCCTGTCGCCCCCCCGGGCTAACCTCGCCTGAAGGCAGGCAATGCAGCAGTATCTGATAGAATTCCTCCTTCCCCATCACGTGCTCCCCGTCCATGTCAACCGCGCTCCTCCGCCGCCGTACCACCTCCTGCGCCGTGAGATCCTTATACAGCCCTTCCGACAATTTGGAGCTCGTGTTCCACGGGCTCACCGAGAAGCCCTCCCCAGGCATAGGTTGGTGTTTCTTGACAGCCTCTGCCGTCTTGTAAATGACATCCCACACCACATGATCCTTGCTGAGCGCATTCGCCTTGCCCACCCACTCCAACTCATCGAATTCCCTCAGAGCATCACTCATCCTCCCATAGTCCACCTCCGGCTCTTCTGAGCCCGCAGGGAACAACAGGAGAGCACAATCTGGGTGTTGCCTCTCCACCCATGGCGCTGGCCCCTTCTTGCCACTCACCATTTTGATTTTGTCTGCAGGAGCAGGGGCAGGGCACCCTTTGTCAACCCCCACTAGCCTCCCAAGGTCCTGATCGGACAAGCCGTCGAGCAACCGCGCATCCCACCCAAGAGTGGCTGCGGCCAGGGCGACCGCGGCCAGCGCGTGGCCCACGTCGTGGTTGCAGTACCGCAGCGCCCGCTCGCCGTACTTCCAGGCCTCCCGCCAGAAGACGGACGACAGCGCGAGCACTGCGGTGGCCGGCCGCGGCAGGAGCGCCGAGCGGTCCCCGGCGGACAGGGTGGCGCGGGCCTCGAGGAGGTGGTCGCGGGGCGCGTAGTGGGAGAGGACGAGGCGGCTGGGCTCCCGCGGGTCCTCGAACAGGACGTGGGCCTCGGTGGGGTGGAGGTTGCCGCTGCTGGGGTTGACGCGGAGGGACCAGGTGGACGCGCCGGCGGACTTCCAGGCGGAGAGGGCGAGCGAGTGGAAGAGGAGGTCGGAGAGGGAGTCGAGCGAGAGCGGCCGCGGCGGCGGGGGCGGCGCGTGGAAGAGGGCCGGGTAGGGAACGGGCGCCGGGGGCGGCGGGTTGGGGAGAGGGGTGGCGGGGGAAGGCGAGAAGCGGAGGAAGGGGTTGGGCTGGTTGGCCCAGTCGAGGCGGCCCGGGCCGCGCGCGTAGCCGGCCGTCAGGCTGTGCTTGGTCCGGCAGTGGTACTCCGCCGCCGGTGAGGAGGACGGCGTCGCGGAGGGGGAGGCGGGGGCGGAGGACATCGCGACGCGGTGGATGGCCGGGAGGGGAGGAGCGGCGCGGCGAGGGGGGACGTGGTGGCAGCAGCGCCGGAGGAGGAGCATCTCGGGTGGAAGACGTCTCCTCCGGTTCCGGGAGGGAGGGAAGGGGATCGAATGCGGCAGAAGCTTCGGTGAGTGGGCCGGGCCGGGCAGTAAGAGGGACAGCACCCGAGCTTACTCAAAGGCCCAAAGGAAGCCCTAGCCCATCTAAGCTTTCCCCTTCTCTCCCAGTCTTGGCCTCTCTCTCCCCGTCTCCCGTCTCCCTTCCCAGCCGCCTCGTGCCTCGCCCTCTCCCATCTCCGACTGCGCCGCCGCCCCCTGTGCCAGCGTTGCTTGCTCCGGCCCCGTTATCGCCGACTTCTCAGCTCCAGTACTCAGAGATGGCGGCGAGGAGAGCCAGCGCCCGCGCGCGGCCCAACGTGCTGGTGACGGGGACGCCGGGGACGGGGAAGACGACGACGTGCTCCCTCCTCGCCGACGCCGCGGGCGTGGCGCACGTCAACATCGGCGACCTGGTCCGCGAGAAGGGCCTCCACGACGGCTGGGACGAGGACCTCGACTGCCACGTCATCAACGAGGACCTGGTATTGAGCCTCCTCCCCACCCCCAAATCCTAATTAGTAGGAGTAATACACTTGCTTCTGATTCATCCGTAGGCTTCTTCTTGAGGGTGAAATCGTCGGTTCCATTAAGCAATAGGTGCAGCTAAATCACCCACCACACACAGGGTTTATTACAAAGTCAGCTAGCTCACCCACCACATCAGAGTTTCAATTTTGTAGTACCAATTTCGGCAAACAAGGACGGGAAGGGGAAGGGCAAAGTCTCAAACTCACCATGGCTAGGAAAATGTCACCTCTCGCATGGGAGGAGGACATGGAGATGGCTGAGAACTTGAGTGTGGCCATGCTCGGTAGGGAGTTGTGGGGTCGCTTTGATCTGCAGGATGGGGGCACAGTAGCAGTGGCGGCTAGCCTTCTCCTTCAGTTACCGGCGACATCAAGCCAACACCATGGCTGAAGGGAGGGAGCTACATCAGCGTACATATCTGGGGGAGGGAGCAGCGGAGCAGCGGCTGGACCTCGGCCTTCTCCTTCCTCGATGGCGTGGCGACTGCTGCTGCTTGGGGCAGGGGATGAGGGAACACCGGTCGGTTATGGAGAGAATGCGGCGAGAAAGGGGGCACGGGGGTTGTTCTGTATGGATAGGTTTAGGGTTTTGACGTATCCACAAGTATCCAAATTAAAATTTTTTTTTGGGAAATGGAAAATCCTCTGATACATACGGGATACATATCTAGGTTTATCTGGATGTATCCCTGTATTGGGACAGTGTCCACCCCTGATACGGCAGCTTTGTGCTGTACCCACTGTTTTTAAGGCGGTAAGGCGAGGCGAGGTGCTGGGGGGGCGCCTCACTGCCTAAGCGCTAAGGCATAAGGCGAGGCGACGCCTTTGAGAGTTCTATGCAACAGAATTAAGTAGAATTTGGTAGGCAGTAGGCAACTAGGCATACAGCCATACACAGCTTGCTGTTGCCTGCTGTCTTGGAGAGGTGCTGCTTGCTTGCTGTCCTGGAGGAGGGAGAAGCTGCAGGAGAGGTTGGGGAGGAGGAACTGCAGGAGAGGAGGGGGAGGGGGATCTGCCGA